ATACACACACACATATATATATATATATATACACACACACATATAATATATATATATATAAATATATATAATAAAATGTAAATATAATATAATATATAAAAATGTATTAATAAATTCAATATATCTATTAAAAAAAATATATATATTAAAATTGAATACTATATTAATTATACATACTATTTTAGTATATTAAAATAGCACATTAAATACTGCAATTCTAAAAATTTTGATGTATTATATTTTTTATTAATATTTTAAGAATTAACAATTTTATTAACAATTATGTTAATTAATTTAACATCTTTGTAAATATATACACAAATATATACACATTACAATTGAACATTATTAAATATTATTTTAGGATAATAAAATAGTACATTAGTAAGTTGCTTTAGTTGCTTTGGATAAAAGCGTCTGCTAAATGACTAAATAAATAAATAAATATAACTTATAAAAAGGTTCAAATTCCTTAACTTGTGACTTTTGATGAGTATAAGTAATGCAAAAACATAAGTTAACCATATCATGAGTTACTGATCACATTTTTTTTTTCAGTGAATATATAAAACCACTCTTCTTTTTAAACACTGAAATGTCAGTGAACCATTTTAACTTCAGATTTACTTAAACAATAAACAATTGAATATACTGCATTTATTTGATCAACATGCAGTAAATAAAGTAATACAGTACAATATTACTGCAATTTAAAATAACTGTTTACTATTTTATTCATTTTTAAAACAGTTTATTTCTGCAATGCAAATCAGAATTTTCAGCAGTCATTATTATTATTTTTTTATAATTTTTTATAAAAATGCAGTTGTCTTTATTGTCACTTTGGATCCTTTCGGAATACAATGATTAATTTATTCTAAATGAATGAATGAATGAATGAATAAAAGGAAAAAAAATCTTACTGACCCAAACTATTGAATAGTGGTGTGTAGATAAAACTTTATCCATTACATATACATACATGTAACTGGTCTATTTGTGCTAATTATTGAATAATAATTGAAATAATAATAAAAATAATAATTGAATAACAACTTAAAACTATTATATGTGGTGTCCACCTGTAAAAAAAAATTCATTTTTTAATTTCATCATTATTTCTTTATAATAATTTATTTTCTTTATGAATTTATCAAATTATCATTAAGTGGTACCCAACACAAGCACAGTTGTTTTACACACACATAAATCAGCATTAGGCAGAGTGCAGTTAAAAGTCCCAGATCAGAGTCTTTAGCAGCCAGGACAACTTCTACATGCTGCACACACCATTAACATCCAAACAGAGAAGATGTTTGGAGATGTACCTGCAGCATCAGGCTGATAGGACTCAAAGGAGGTGAACTCACTGTCCCCTGAGGACACGAGGGACACGGGCTCCGCTTCAGCGTCCACGTCCTGCTCCGAGATGGTGCTCAACCTCCTCATCCCACTAACCACAGCTTCACTCATTCTGCACGCAAAACAAAATCATAGATGGAAATGAGAACAAATATTACAGCAAACGGACATGCTAAAGCAAGACATGGAGGGAAAAAAAATCACATTATACCTTGAGTGATTCCAGCAGCTGATACGAGCCTGTTAAGAACAGATGAGCTAAATACTTCAGTCGGATCTGAGCTTAACACGTGTCAACCAATAGTTTGGCTGTTAGGTCTAAAACTATGCCAGAACAAGATGTAAATGCTGCGCAGATGAATCTGCAGGGTATACAGGGCACTGGAAACAATAATGCGACTGACTTGAGCATGAGAAATAAGATATATCTATAGAATAGCCTGTGCTGAATGAATTATTAAACCCCATCCATGTGCAAAGAGTCTCTGGAGAGTTTCCAGCGTGGCTGCAGTTTTGTGAAATGGATTTCATCAGGGCTTTTGTTGCTGCATCATTTCAGTCATGGTTCTTTGGTTTTAATGCTACTAAAAAATTAACAAAAACTGAAAAAAAAAAAAAAAAAAAAAAGAGAGAAACGTCAGGCAGTATGCAAAGATTTGTCCTACTGAAGTGAAACTGATGGTTTACATTCAAAATGTTGAATATGGCATGTGGTAATTGTGAAAACGGTGGCTATGCAAAAATACAAACGTATTGACAAAAAAAAGTTTATTTTTCTTCGCAAACTCAAAACAAAAACTCCACTCAGCGTTTTTATTACCATCTTATTTTTCTCAGTTCATACAATGAAAAACACAATCAAATCTCAAGGAGATTAAATATAAAAATAGCAATAAATTATCCAAATGTGCAACTTCACGTAGAAACAAATGCCCTTCTTAAACATCTACAAAAAAAGGTACAAAAGCTGTCACTGCGGTGGTATTTGTTTTCCAAAAAGCACACCTTTGCACCTCTTTTACATGTAAACAAGCATATTGGTACTTTAAAGTTATATATTCGCACCAAACATGTACATATTAGTCCCTATATTAATACCTTTTGAAAGGGTACCAACCCAAGAATAGCTTTTGTACCTTTTTTTTCAGAGTCTAAACCAGTAATTTGATTCTCATGGTTGTCCACTGTCTAATACGTTGGTCTAAAAACTTGGTGAAAGCCCTAATGTTTGAGTGAGAACAAAACATCCTGCTATTGTACATCTAATGTCCTCAATCTCAGTTTTCATGGCATCACAGAAGCTAACCACTGTTTTGTAACAGTTCCCTCATTCTCAGTATCACACTGCAGTCTGAACACTTTTCACTTCACAACGAGAACATACACGCATGCTGATTTTAGTCTATGCATGTCATTTGTTCTGATACTTAGTCTTTGTGACTAATGGATGGATTTGAGTTGACTGATATTGCTGAATGTGTCACTTCAAAACCCATCGATCGGAGAAATTACTTTGCATTGCAGAGACAATTAGAGACATTTGCATGAGACTTAATCAAGAATGTATCAAATATTTCACAGAACAGCTCATACATCAAAACAAAGTATTTTAAAGTGCACCTCATCATTGACAATCCATTCATTAAATCTCCTTTTTTATCAATCACTGCAAAATTATATAACACCCTTATTAGACTATAGATTAACATTACAGCTCTTGAGATGGCAAAGACTTTAAACAGAGAGCTCTGTTTTTTATCACACCGTCATTATCTGTGCTGAGAAAACAATTCAAGCAATATCTTACATTACAGCTGCTCTGTTCAATGGGTTCAGTTTCAGTGCAGCACAAAATCTGGAGTCAAAATTGATGAAACTGAGCTGCCGTGGAGACTCAAACCGTATGATGATAAGCGACCGCCGGCCGATGCTTCACCTGAGCAGTTTCCCATTCTGAGGGAAGTGAGGTTTAGACCAAACCAGTCCTGAGGGCTGGTGGATGGTGGAGTTGGCGCCACAGTCGATGTAGCGGTAAGCTTCCAGTGTGTTCTGTGCCACCCGCACCATGTAGGAGGTTTTCACAGAGGTCCTGGGGTGTGTAAGAGAAGCGGTCAGGACCATTTCACGAAGAACTTAGAATAACACTCTACATACTCAAAAAAAGTTGTTTCTCGGAGGCAAAGCTGTTCTTAAGGACCACATTTAGTGTTGCTCGACAATTATTTCAGGAGAAATCCATGCAATCTGGAGTTGTACCTTTATGCTTCACTTCACCTCCAACTTTCAAATGTAGAACAACAGCAGAAGACAAAAGAGGATGTGAAAACGTAGTGATGAAAAACTCACTGCATAAACACCACGATGTTGTGGACCTTGATGCTTGCCATGGTGCAGAAGGCACTGAGAAAACAGCGAAAATATTTCAAAAACAGAAGATCAGATACACAGATTCATGAGGATCAGCTTGTTCATCCAAAGAGAACTGATTTGATACTCACTAAACGTAAGAGAGACTTCCTCCAATCTCCATACTGACAGTGAAGTTGGCCTGCATTAAAAAGCAACAGCACAACTACTATCCAACGTTTAACAATCGGTGTCTGTGTCATTTCTCCCACTTAAGGATTGTCTATAGTGTTCAAAAGTCTGGGGTCAGTAAGACTTTTTCTTTTTTTTTAAAGTGAGAAATGATTTCTTTACTCAGCAAAGACATATTAAATCGATTAGAAGTGACAGTACAGATATTTATAATGTTACAAAGGATGTCTATTCCAAATAAATGTTGTCCTTTTGAAATGTAAAGCTGAAATTTACTCACCCTCAGGCCATCCAAGATGTAGATGAGTTTGTTTCTTCGTAGAAACAGATGTGGAGAAATGTAGCATTCCGTCACTGTCTCAGCAATGGATGCTCTGTGAATCAGTGAATGGGTGCCGTCAGAATGAGTCCAAACAGCTGATAAAAACACCACAATAACCCACACCACTCCAGTCCATCAGTTAACATCTGGTTAATGAAAAGCACATGATGTTAACTGATGGACTGGAGTGGTGTGGATTATTGTGGTGTTTTTATCAGCTGTTTGGACTCATTCTGACGGCACCCATTCACTGCAGAGGAGCCATTGCTGAGCAAGTGATGTTAAATTTCTCCAAATCTGTTCAGATGAAGAAACAAACTCATCTTGAATAGCATGAGGCTGAGATTTTTTTTTTTTTTTGCGTGGACTATTCCTTTAAACCTTCTATTCAAAAAATCCTGAAGAAATGTATTAATGGTTCCACAAAAATATGAAGTAGCACAACTGTTTTCAATATTAATAATAATAATAATAAATGTTTCTTGAGCAGCAAATCAGCATATTAGAATAAGTTTCTGAAGGATCATGTGACACTGAAGACTGGAGTAATGATGCTGAAAATTCAGTTTTGCATCATAGAAATAAATGCCATTTTAATATATATTCAAAATAGACATAGAAAAAAATATTAAATTCTATTACATTTTTTATAATAATATGATAACATAATATTACTGTTTTTACTGTATTTTTGATCAAATAAATGCAGCCTTGGTGAGCAGAAGAGAGTTATTTCAAAAATCTGACCGAGCATCAACTTTTGAACAGTAGAAAACAGATGTTGGGCTCATCACTCATCACACCTGTCTCTGGCTGAGAGGTTGAATGTGGATGATGTTGTCTAGCTGTTGAGATCCGATGACTGTCTTCATGTAGAGCACCTGGCAGCTCACGCTGTCCACCCACATCGTGAAGAAATTAGAGTTGGTGAAGTTCAGAGAGCTCTGTAAAAAACAAAACAAAGCAAAACAAAACAAAGCAAAGCAAACAAAACAAAACAAAATTTTGTTTTCTGATGGGATTTCTTTACCATTTTCTTCTGGTAAATCCCTCAGTGGCCTCTGAAATCCTCAATAAAGCAAATAAAGCAAAGCAAAGCAAAACAAAACAAAACAAAACAAAACAAAACAAAACAAAACAAAAGCAAAGCAAAACAAAGCAAAAACAAACAGCATTCAGTACAGTTCAAAGCCAAAATTTGTGTTTCTTTAAATTATTTGTCTGACTGGAAGCCAATAATATTTTTTATTATTGCAATATTTTTGCACATAAAATGTTTTGATGTCCAATTTAACCATTCTAGACTGAAGCTGCATTGTGAACTCTATCCCGCCCCCCCCAGCATATTACACGATTCATTACATAAGTTATTACATATGAATATAATTTTATGAACAGGGACAGTTTTGATTCCATGTTATTTCCAAACAACAAGGCTTGAGAAGAAAGGCCTCGGGACAATTTAAACCAGTTTTTTTATTATTAATTAATCCATCATAAAAACTAAAAAAAGACATGTAACAGAAATCACCGTCATGTTGATGATCACTTTGCTGTTGTTACGGTCAAAATGCACAGTCACAGAGCGAATGCCATCATCAACAACCAGCACAGGACGTGGAAACAGGAAGAACGCCACCAAAAAAGACGCCAGTAGACACAAAATCACTGACAGCACCACATATAACTTCCTGCCAAGAGAAGAATTCACAGTTCACTTGAAAATGAAAATTCTGTCATCATTTGCTCACCCTCCAGTTGTTCCAAACCTGTATGAGTTTGCTGAGTCTGCTGAAGACACACACACACAAAATATTTTGAATAATGTGGGTAACCAAACACTTTCTGGTCCCCAATGACTTCCATAATATTTTGTTTCCATACTATGGAAGTCAACTCTTTGGTTTGAAAATATCTTCTTTTGTTTTCAACAGAAACTCACATTCCGGTTTGGAACAACTTGATGGTGTGCAGATGACATAATTTTCATTTTTAGGTGAACTATCCCGATTACAAACATCGAAAATGAACATCAAGACTGTTTCCAATAGAAAATGACCTGTGTGTGATAACTTACGTTCTCCTTGGCTGTAACCTTTGATCGCTGTAGGGGATCAGAGCAACCAACTCATTCATCTGCCCTGAAAGAGAGAGAAAAATAAATTGATTCAATCAGAAGTTCAGATAACATGTAGAATCACACCAAAGTGCATGTGGTCATCTACACAACCTCATGACCTCAATCAATAGCACAGATTATCTAGTGACTGGCTGCTTTTACACAACACCTTATAATGGATGTGATCATTGTGTAAAATTGTTTCAGAAAAGTAAAGACTTTAATATTTGGATATCCCTTCACTAAAGCAAGGATATGGAACGATATTCCGGACAATTTTCAAATAGAATAATACAGTTGCAAATGGATTTAGCTTTTTCATTTGAAATGTGGCAGTCACTGTGCGTTCGCGAAAATGCAAACGGTAATGCAGGATTTGCAATTGCATTTGGATTATGTCACAATTTATGCGTCCACATATTGAAAACGCAATTGAAAATACAATTTGCTATTCTATTTGAAAATTGTCCGGAATATCGTTCCATACAAGGAACCTAGTTCTTCAGAAATGAGAATTCATCAAGAATTACCACTGAAATTAATGGGAAATACAACGTAAATATAATAATTAGTGCTGTCAAACGATTAATCGCGATTAATCACATCCAAAATAACAGTTTTTGTTTACATAATATATGTATGTGTACTGTGTATATTTATTATGTATATATAAATACACACACATAGAGTGTATATATATGTGTGTGTGTATATATATATATATATTAATATTTACAAATACATTTACAGAGGACCGTGAAAGCAACCACTAACTCGTGTCTCTCTCATTTACTGCTAAGGTTAGTTAAATTAATTAAATGTCATATCAAACTGTAATTTACATGCTTTAATGTACAAATAATTTGTTTCAACTGATTATTTATTTTATTAATAATTTTAAGATGCTTATGTCATATAGAAGTTTATTCATGTATTCACCCGAGTAATTTATGCGTATTATTTACTTGAACTACATACCTGAGACACTAATTCAGACAGTTTTGTATAAGAATTAGAGCATTTCTGTACATATGGTTAAGGTTTCATATCGTTATTTGTTTATTTATTTATTGTGATTTGATTTAAGCATCTATACAGTGTGTATTATTTTTTTCCAACGTTTATCATTTTGTGATTCAAAGTGTCTTACTGACTCTGAAATACAAATGTGTATGTGTATTAAAAGACAACAAAGAGGACCGTGAAAGCAACCACTAACTCTTGTCTCTCTCATTTACTGCTAAGTTGATTACTGCTTACAGGGAGCTGTAACACATAATAAATATACAGAGTACACACACATATATTATGTAAATAAAAACCTTTATTTTGGATGCGATTAATTGCGATTAATCGTTTGACAGCACTAATAATAATAACAATAGAATAAATTGTGCAGATGCATTACACATTTTTTTGGGGAAAAAAAGCTCATCTGTCACGGTGTAAAAGTTTTTCCTAATATTGAGTGATTATAATAAAAGTCATTATAATACTGGGATCATTGACTTCGTGCATAAAACTTCTTTCGTCTGGTTTTCAAGTTGAAATGCGACCTGGACATGCTTTCACGAGATCCTTACTTTCATTACACTCAAATGTAAGATGTGTGTTTTTAACATCTGCACCTGATGGGATGCGTCCGGACCCCTGGCAGGTAGGACAGGTGATGCTATCTCGGCCTGTGAACTCCACATATGGGAACTGGGCGATGTCCTCCTGTCTGTCCAGACCGTCTAGAGAGTCATCCCCACCCATCAGAGAGCCCTTGTGACCAGGCCTGCTGTGACGGGACAGGAGCGAGCGGCCGTGCCGGCACACAGATGCACCCATGAGAAGCACAAACCAACTCCAGCCTGATACCAGCGACTACAGACAGATGAACACCAGTGAGTGCATATATACAAGCAGTGTTGGGGAGTAACTACTTACATGTAACAGAATTACATTTTAAGGTGTCCTTGTTACAGTGTAATTATACATTTAAGTGCTGAGTAATATTAATTAACTACATGTACTTACTATATGTTTAGGGTTTGGCTTAGGGTTACTTGCATGTAATTATGCATAATGTATTGTTATTATAATAGCAATAACATGTAACATGTGTAACAAGGACACCTTAAAATAAAGTGTTACCCAAAATAAATGTATTGTAGTCAGTTACTGAGAACAAAAGTGTAATTACATTACAGTTACTTCTGAAAATGTTAACGATTACAAAGGGGGTTACATCTGAATTTTTCCCACACATACAGATTTAATTGATTTCTTTCCCAAAATGCACTGACTGCTCTAAAATATATGAGACACCAATGTTTCAGGAGTTTAGGACACAGAATAGGACACATGCTTACTCGATACCTGTTTTATGTATATATGCTTTATTTTTTAAGATTAACTGCTTTTTTCCAAACAGTACCATAGCTATTAAACTATTTCTTGTTATGATTTTAAATCTGTATTTAACCTCAGAACGATCTCAGAGTAAGAAGAGCCGCTAAAGTCTGATTTTATGGTGGCTGTGCTTTAAAATTAAATTACTATAATCTTAATTCAAGCGATGAAGGATTCTGAAAGTCTGACCGTAATCAGTGTTGAGTAGTGCTGTAAGGTTAACCCTGCCTGCTTTAAATGTTAATGCGATTATAGAAATGTATAAAAGTAATCAAAAAGTAACCAAATGTAATCAGTTACATTACTTTAATAATAAATAATAAATACATTTTAAGTAGGGTAATTTATGTAATCTGTAACCTATTACATTTCCAAAGTAACCTTCCCAACACTGTATACAAGTAATCCAAAAGTAGTCCAAAAGTAGTCAGAATACATTACCTAAAATGAGTAATCTAGATTACATTACTAACTAACTTACATTTGTCATTTGTATTCAGTAAAAGACTACAATGTAAACCAACCAGCACTCTCTCACTCTCTCACTCTCTCTCTCTCTCTCTCTCTATATATATATAATAAACACCTTGTCTGGTTCAGCCCAGTCTATTATATGTTCAGCTGACTGTAGCAACTTTATTCAACTGTACACGTTGTCAAACTACCGGTATGCATTAGGAAAATATAGTTTCAATGAGCTTGCTTTTGGAAACGTTACATTTTGATTACTTGTCAGTTTGAGGTCAAGCTCGTGAGACTGAAAAAGCATCGCTTACCTTTAAGCTGTAACGTTACAGACACACAGATATCAGTGCTGCTGCGGTTTGAGTCCTCTCAGTCCGCTGAGGGTCATTTGTTTGTGTTTGTGTCTCTCTCCGTCTCTGCTCTGAAGTCAGTGATCAATAGATCGACTCTCTACTGCCATCTGCCGCTCTGGAGATCAACTGCATAAGGGATAATAGCCACCTTTTTCTTCAACGCGGAAGTAAGTAAGCCTATGGGTGAGACTTCCGGTTCCTTACCCGCTATAGGTAAATAACGAGGAGAATAACAACGTGCAGTAAACGGTAAAACTGTTTGCACTACAAACCAGTGTGTTCATAATTAAGATAATACATTCAAATATGATAAGACACACAAACCTTCAATATCAAGCAGCAAAACTAACTGTTTTGTTCAGCTATAATTAAGACAACACATTCGAATAATATGGTAAGACACAACAATTGTTAATATCAAGCAGCAAAATGAGCCATTCTGTACAGCTAAAAATAGCTGGACTCAGATGAGACCGGAAGCCAGACCCATAGAATTTACAAATGGCCACGCCCATTTTTACGACAAGAAAAAGATAGATACGATCAACGTGTCATAATCGGAAAATAAGCTTCGGGCCTTCGGCTACTTATTGAACAAACAATAAATGGTAGTAGCGTCGCTAAAAGTAACGAAGCTATTTTCTAGTGATGGCTGTTTTCAAAGTCCTGCTTCGTGAAGCTTCGAAACCTTTGTGAATTGTTTGTTTCGAACAAGTGTTTCAGAGCGTGTATCAACTGCCAAAGTCACGTGATTTCAGCGGGCTCACACTGTGCGATTTTTAAAAGTCCTTAAAGGGATAGTTCACCCAAAAATGACAATTCTGTCATTAGCAAGGAGATCGGTAAAATAATCAATGTGACATCAGGGGTTCAACCGTAATTTTACGAAGCTACGAGAATCTACTACGTCACCTCCGCGTCACCCTGGCGCCATTTTGGAGAATATCCACTGAACGTAAACAGCGTATGCTGTTCTGTGTCAGCTGCGTCGTGCAGATACGTTGTTTACGTTCAGATCAAAGCGCAAACAACGTAGAAAACTACGTTGTTTGCACTTTGATCTGAATGTAAACAATGTATCCAGGAGACAAATTGTTGAATAAAGTAGTTTTTGACACTAGAGGCTACAGTCTTTAGCCTCCTTGTTAGTGCGTCCGCCTCCCATGCCGAAATGAGACACTGAAGGTTGTGTGCTACAGTGATTTTGGTAATCGGTGTTGATAGAAGAGCCTAATAACATTTATTTCTTTACAGTAAGCAGCACTTGGTTAGATATGTATATGTAAGTCAAATATCTGTTTTGTAGATGGGTCATTACTCGAAGTCAGAGCCTTTTGCATCCCTCAGAAATAATCAAACATAGATTTGATATAACAACAAATAAGTGTGCAATTTAAAAACAAAGCAATACTATGTATGCTTTCATCAATATTACATAAAAAAAGTCAATTAAATATTAATTTATATAATAATAATAATTGGCCTGTCCCTCACTATGATTTTTCTTTTTCAGAAGGACTTTTAATTTGCTAAATGAAGGCAAAATTATATAAAAATCACATTTGCACATTGTTCTAAATGTAGTCTCATTGTTAAACAATGTTTTTGGCATAATTATGCATTTTTTTCTATAAAATTTAAATCGTTTTATTGGTGTCCCCAAACATCATGCAATGTCAATCCTGTTACCATTTTTAAAATGTAAATTTAAACAATTGTTTCTTACATTTAATATAATCAATACCTACAAGTAAAATTCTTTCAAAGTGTACAATATGTGCTTTTGTGAACTTATCAATTAGCAAATTAGTTTGAAATCGTCAAACCTGTTACTGTCAATCTGTTACTTTTTAGAGTAACAGGTTTTGACATGTGGGTAACAGGGATGATATTGATTAGGGTTGACCTTGTTTTTAAAGATTGTCTGTGTAAAATTAAAACATTTTAAAGGTCACCCTCTGTATATTATTGAGCTAATATGCTTATATCATTCAGTGGCATATGAGTTCTAATTAAACTATAGTATCTAGTAACGCTTGTGTCGGTAACAGGGTTGACAAAAATACCAAAACATGAGGTAGAAAAATAGTCATAAAATAATAAATTACATAGCCTGAGATGGCACAATATAATTTCTTGTCATTTTAAGGGGTCTCCATTTCATGGATATTTAAAAAATATTGATTAAACTTATTTTATTTTTCAATTTTGTCCCAGTGGAAAAGGCACCGATTTCATGGAATGACCCAGTAGTTAAAAGTCTCTTATTGGCAAGTTTAGACAAGCCTCCATAAAACAAACAAAACAAGCCCTGCAAATTAATAAAAGATCACATAACAGGCACGCCATTTTAACGGTATTTGATGATTTTTAATTGCATTTAATATATTATATTTTCAATTAAACGAATCCTTTCAATGATTTTCCAATCCTTCCAAAAGGTTCATGCAGCTTTTCAGTAATGACGTTATTTTATTGACGAAGCAGTGAAACTACCACTAATAGTGGGGTCATGTTTCAGGAATTTCAGTCATGTTTGTATATCTCTGGCAGACAAAGCAAGAGTGATCCAAATGGGAAAAAAATTGGTCTTTTCTTCTTCTTCTTACTAGTTTTTTTTATTCGCGGCTCACAACCACAAATTGAGCATTACCGCCATCTACTGATGCAATGGATCAGAGACTTGAATCCCCTTTTCCCCAGACCTATCAGGAAAAATTGGTCTTTTGAATCGTTTATCTTATCAACCGGTATGAATCATAAATGACTCGTTCATTCAACTGAATCAGTTGTGCGGTTCTAAAAGTCTTAAGACGCGCATTCATCAGCTTCAGTGTAGTACTAACTTATACACCTACCTTATACTTCACCGATAGTGGGGTACCGTAGCCATACTTTACCAATTGTATAAGATTAACAGAAAGATATATATGAACAATAAACTATTTTTATGTGTGTACTCCGCAGTCAGATGATAAAACTGCCTCCCACAATGTACGAACACGTTATTCAGGTGAGGTTCACAGTTAAAGTTAGCACTCCATTAACACAACCATGAACAAAATACACTTCATATATCTCTCACAGCACCAATTATTGTATATTTTTCTGGAAAAATATGCATTATATACAAAATACAGTATGAAGTTAGCTTCCACTTAATCTAATGTTAAGAAGATGTTCAGTTAGCTAAACGTTTTTGTCATTCCCACATTAAAAAAGTAGCTACTTCAAATGTAATGTACAATATTACTCTGTAGCCCACCTCAGTATTAATGTTTTTAATGGTTTTGCAATAGAATTATAGCAATTAAAGTACATATATTGCATTAATATGATTATGTGAGGTTACACACGCCTACTGTAAACCAATGCTAGCTGTCAGCAGGATAAAAAAGTCATGTAATTGAGTTAGAAACAACTGCCTTATACCAACAAAAAACATACATGTTTGTTTACAGATCTTTCAGATTCTTAAATATCTCCTTTTTTAATAATTATGTTTTTTTGATGTTCTTAGGAATGTGTTGAAGTGTCTAAAGGAGCTCAGTGTTAATCACATCTGCTGGAGATGTTGGTGGTATTTTAGGAGTCAGTATCGTTTCTTGAACATTTATCTGACTTCATATGTTTCCTCTTAGAAGTTCCTGTGCAAAGGAGTCTTGTCATCTTCAGAAAAGAATCTCACTGGAAAAAAATGAGACAAATTAAAAGCCTGGCTGCATATCACCAACACATCATCTTAGCAATGCCAACTTATGGTGAGGAATTTCTTGAAAAGACGAGCAAAACCATGACAAAACATGGTGGGATTCCTCTCACACATGAAAAACATTTCATACATTCAGAGTAAATAATGTCTAAATTCTACAGTTATGGTACAAACCATTACAAACAGCGGGAAAAAGAAGTCCTCACAAGGATATGCATATATATATATATATACACACTGAACAAAATTATAAACGCAACACTTTTGTTTTTGCCCCCATTTTTCATGAGCTGAACTCAAAGATCTAAGACTTTTTCTATGTACACAAAAGGCCTTGTTCAGTATATATATATATATATATATATATATATATATATACGGATGGTGTTGTGTGTTGTGTACATACCCTGTCCTGATCGAGATGAGATTTGATCAAGATCAGACTCATTTTCATAAATGCCCTGGTCTCCACCAGCGTTCTGCAAGATAAATATCGGTGTTCACAGAGAACACCAGTGCTGCTTGTGATGAATTCAATACTGTATACTCAATATTACAAATATCTGTACACAAAATTCTTTCTTACATTAAAGTGTTATTTTCTTATCTAGATAAGAAAGTCTCTTAATATATATTATATTCTTCATTCTGGTCACTAAGAAAAAGTGTCTTCAAAATATACATTAGTGCTCTAAGGAAGTCGTGCAGGTTCAGAAAGATGTATGGGTGAGTAAATGATTTTGATTGTTGACTGAATTATTCTCTTCAGCAGTACATTGATCAAATACAGGATACACTTTAGATAAGTGTGTGCTACTGTGCCTGTGTGGTTAAACACGCTTTTGTATGTGTTTTGTGGCATTACTGTAGGCTCATAGCCTGACACATAACCCACTTCTCCACTGGCTTGCAGTCTCCTCTTCAGCTCGGCATTCTCTCGCTCCAGCACCTTATTCTGAACAGGAGAGGGAGATATTAGATGATTTAGGCATTTAAACAGACACTCTTCAATCAAAGCCACTGTGTTCTAACCAAGTCCAACCTAATGTCTCAGAGATTCTCTTTTTAAAAAAAGACAACCTTTCCGTTTGCACGATTGGACAAAGCAGTAATGGTCAACAGCTTGGGTCACGACTCATCATGTGCGCCTTGTAGCCATCTTTTAGCGTTTTATTATGACTGTGTGAGTCGCTGTTTGCAGGTACAAGTTTATATGTCATGCCCTAAAATGAATAATGCCTCACAAATGTCAGATTTTTTATAATTCTATTTTTAGTTTCGTTTTCTATCTATTCTCCAGTCACTCCAAATATAACTCATATTAAACTGTACAGTAAAGAGATGCTTTGATTGTGTGCCACTTCATCTTGTCATGTGGTGTTAAGCCGCAGTAAATGTGTGTGCTGAGCTTCAGGTGTTTCTGTCATGTGTTCTGTATGATGACGGTTACCTTGTGTCTCAGGGCCTCCACCACCAGGTCACGATCGCCTTGCAGACTTTCATCCTGCTTATGAGCCCGAAAGGTGTCACCAATGATAGACACCAGCAGATGGGACTGACAGAAAGAAAAACAACGCAGATCAACTCGAAAAAGATTTGAAGGTAAGATTTAACATTGCAACAATGTTTATGTAAGGTGCCGTTGTGTGTGGCACGCCGTCTGCTGCTCTCTTTCTCATTTTTACATTTGATGATTTGCCTGTCCCTACTAATTACTTGTAAGCTTTTCTCCTCTATTTTATCTCATTCCATAGGTTTTTATTTTTATTGTTCCTCTACCATTTAAATGCTTTATGTATTTTTATTGTCTGTTTTCTTTTAGCTTTTTTAAAGCACTTTGGTCAACACCAGTTGTTTTTAAATGTGCTATATAAATAAACTTGTATTTTATTGTATTGTAGCAATGTAAGTTTATGAGAGATTTTCTAAGTTTATTAATAAAAGCAATTACAATTAAGGAAACAATTCATATTAAAACGTACTAATGAAGTGTATAAAACTTTTCTTTCAGGGATCTGAATTAATTGCAGGAAATTGTGGAGAAGAAGAAGAAGACTTTTCAAACCAGAGATTTGATGTGCTTTGAAAAAAGTTTATCATGCTGACCAAGTCTGCACTTATTTGATAAAAAATACAGTAATATTGTGAAATATTATTACAATTAATAAGAACATTTTTCTGTTTTAATATATTGTAAACTGTAATTTATTGCTGTGATCAAAGCTGAATTTTCAGCATCATTACTCCAGTCTTCAGTGTCGCACGATCCTTGAGAAAACAGTCTAATATGCTGATTTGTTGCTGAAGAAACTTTTTCATAGCTCAAACAATAAAGCATGCACTAGCAACACCAGGGTCATGGTGTTCAATATAAAATGTGCACCTTGAATGCAATGTAGGTTACTTTAGATTTTTCATGGTTTGAGTTAAAAACAGCACTTTATGATTCTATTATTGTCATTTTTATTGCTATTATTAAACTTGACAAACACTTTTAGAGATTTACAGTCTGTCCCTGTTCAAGGAGATGGAGCTGTACTTGGGTGTCTATTGCCTACATAGAAAATAGTTGCCCTGCAGCATTACCAAGGCAAGTCATTTCACTCGGTATAGAAATGCCACTCAAGACAATCGATGGAATTGACCCTTTGCTAAGACCTGCCCCCCTTAGTTACTGTGTCCGACAAGCCATTGTGCTCTCATGCCACACATCATGTTCCCACACATTGAAAAAACATCGCGAAGCAAAGAGGAAACTGACAATACGCCGACAGACAAAACAGAGCAGGTTACTTCTGGTGTGAAACATGGTCTCAGCTTTCAAATTTTGTCATTTGTGTAAGAAATTCAAACAATAAATACCGTTTTGTGGCTCTTTAATGTGTCGTGACATATCACTCAGTTAAAGCGGCCGGCACGTGAACTGATAATCTCTTCCTCTTCACTAGTTATAGCTTGAAATAAACATGAATGAACATCAGAGGGTATCTTGTTTCAACCGCAGAAAGACGTCTATATACACACTGTTTTTCAAGTTCAATTCCACTGACGTTAATCTACTCTCCTGTCTGATTTATTTGTCGGACAAAATGGTCAAAATGGTTACGATTGGTCAGATCGGCTGCCAATCAATCTCCCGGCAAAGGGTCAATTGATTTGTCATTTACTTTACATCAAAACAGGGTCAGCGTCATTACCTAGCTGTTGTCGGTACCCAATTTTACAGAGGGAAAAGTAAACGTCAAGACTTATTCAAAAATGGAGGAATTGACTCTTTTGGACTCGACTGCGAGTACATTTTCTTTGTATGACCAACATTTTTGCTACTGACTTGCCTTTAAAACAGTTCAAGTGGTTTCCATAGACTCCCAGGCAGGGGAGGCAGCAGAACAATAAGAAGGCTCTGAAAACTATAGGGGCTTCACAATTTTGAATGTAAATGGAAAATAGTGAACTAAAAGCATCATGCATATCAAATGTGATGCATCTAGGATTTCCAGAACTCACAAACGTCTTGCTCTGGAAGATGTAGCAGTGGTACATGTTCGCCGCTGGGTGTCTGGCCACAAAGCCGAGTATTTTGGGCTGAGTCGGATGTACTGCGCAGAAAGAAACAGAGGGCAGAGCGCAGGAGTACAGCATGAACTGAGAAAACGAGAGGGAGACAGTGAATGACGGTTATTCTCCATCGTACACATCACTGTCTGAGCTTGAGTACATAGTCCTCCGTCACACCTTAGTTTTATGCTCTAGAATGTCAATAGCACTTCTTGTCAGAAACAGATGTACGTTAGTTTTCTTAATTTTCTCATCCTTTTCTATGTTTGGATCCTAAAAGGGAAGGAAAGTGATAATAATGGGACACAGGACAAAAGATCAAGTTATATAATATCTCTATCTCTAATGACTACAGTAGAGTGACATTTATGGTTTTATCACCTGTAGGGCTTGTACTGCATCTGTCAGAATCTGCATCCCACCTGGACGGACCACCTGCATACGACCCAAAAACTACACACAACCCCATACGTGAGTGAGTAACAGCAGTTTTGATAACAAATCACATTAAGAGCATTATTTAGTAAATGACACAACATTGTTGTCAATTAGACCATTTAGAAACAACATGCCTTAATGCAGTGGCTCCCAACCCTGGTCCTGGAGGCACACCAACACTGCACATTTAGCATGTTTCCTTTCTCTGACACACCAATTTCAGGTCTTGAAGTCTCTACTAATGAGCTGATGACCTGAATCAGGTGTGTTTGATTAAGGAGACATGCGAAAAGTGCAGTGTTGGGGTGCCTCCAGGACCAGGGTTGGGAACCACTGCCTTAATTGATACTCACTTTAACTGAAAAGTATATTTCGCTATCGTCATCTATGTCACTCATTTTCACCACTATCCTCTAGCGTCTGTTTAAAAATGACAAAATACACAAGGCAAAATGACATATTTCAAATAGTTTAATAAAGCAATGACACACTGTGGCCTAAAATATTTGGACTTTTCTGGCACACTTTAAAATGCCTTAACATTACATAACAAAATAACAAACCAATTTGGATTTGCAAATATGCTACACAAACTTTTCACAGAACTAACTTCCCTTTTATCAGTATATAACACAAATCAGAAAGCACAAAAATGTTACTTATCCAAAACTGGATCACACATAAGAAATAGTTTATGCACTTACGTTTGGATGAGAACTTCGTATCGCTGAGGTGATGTTCTCTTCCTCGGTCTTTCAGGGTTAAAGTCGTATGATGTTAATGGTTAACTGTAAAATGTCGTTTCTTTATGGCACATCAGGCCTGATAACAAGTCAGCTATTACCATCTAATATATTACCATTGTTATGTCATATCTGTCTTTGAACATGTTATGTAGCCTGACGGACAAGTTAAAGAAACACTTGCACTAATTATTGTTTCAGTTTAATATTTGAAATTTATGCTATAACCATGTGTGCAAGTGAGGATAACTGATCAGAAAGACATTTTATACAGATTAAGAACAAGTTGGCTCTAACCAGTATATGGTGCTGTTGTAGATGTGTTGACAATTAATAAATGGAAAAAAAAAATCTTACAGAATGAGTTTACAAGTTATAACCATTCAAGTGATGTAGGTTTGGCAGATCAAATTAATTTAAATAATCCTGAACATGTAATAAAGCAATGAATCGCATTAATTCAAGAACCTCAAGTAATCAGCTGATACATAACGTATATTTTGTACATCCAGTAATGTCGGTGTATAACATACCCTCTACATATATTGAGATTTATTGTCAAAGAAAAAATGCAAACAGAGACTTTTTTGGGGATGAATTATGTCAGGTCAGACTGATTTGAGTCAAAGCTATTTAAATGATGTGATAAGGAAGTGTGAACAAGTATTTCTTGTTTTACAGGACAAGCTGATGTACATTTGCTTTTATTTCTGTTCAGTGTGAAAGCATATACAGACCATGGTATACACAGAGAACTTTGCTGCAGGTGTTTTTGCATATTTTGTAAAACTTAATCTAATCTGCAAAACAGCACATATGCCCCTGAAGAATGTTGTTCGTTAGCATGCGTGTTAATGTACTCATCATGTGCATGCATAGTTTGCATTCTTTTACTGTCACTTTTACTGGCATTACCATTTGTTCAAGTGAAACTGCAAGCAAAACTCTTATGACATACCTCGAAAGCACTGATAATGTTCATGCTCTTTAAGAGCGTCTGAATTTGATTATTTCCCAGAGACAGAAAGATCTGACTTCTGGATAAAACGCACTATGTACAGTCTACTTTCTTAAAAGGCCAAAGAAACTAGACTTTAAGTAACATTTAAACAAAACCCATTCAGTTTCTCCTATTTTTAGCTGTATGCCAATACTTGTAGGTGTTGCACAAACATTTCATTCACAGTTTAAAAGAAGTCAATTTGAAATTATGTTTGCTTTGCTCTGGTATATATGACTGTTCCAGAAGCATCATGCCCATTGAAACTGAGGCATAATAATGCATAAAGAATGTAATAAGGACAAAGAGAATGAAGCAAGAGTGAAAATTAAAGCATGCTGGTGTCAGTCAAACTCCACTCAGAAGGGTTATCCATGACTCCTCCGAAGTAGAGTGGATCGCGAACGCAGGGTATACTGTGTCCTTGAACATGGCACTAAATGTATGAAGGTGCTGCCTTCGCCCTCCTTGACCTGAGCTGTGGAATGCAATAGTTCCTCCTTCGTAATCCAGGGTCACTTCGACCTTCTTTGGTGGCATGACCAGCCCTTCACCTATGGCCACATTAGCCGAGTCATAGCACGCCGTCAGCTTCTTGCTTTTCCACTGCAGCCTCCAGGAACTGGTGTTATGCCCCAGCCTGCTGTGGTCACCTTTACGTGGGATGTTTTTATAGCACAGTCCCAGAGACCACATACACCCAGGACCAACCTCCACTGCCCACATGTGAACTCCTGTGGAGAAACCCTGGGTGCACATGACCTGAGTGGCCGTAGAGAAGCGTTCGCTCTGATCTCCAGCGGTGCTGCTCTTAACTCCGGCACACTGCTTGACTGTTTTGAGATCGCTGGACAGCAGAAGGCTAGGATGGGCCGTGGCTGGGTTGAAGGTCAGGTCTAGAGGGTTCATCATGCCATGGAGGTACTCCAACAGAAGACTCATCTCAGAACGGAAGGCGTCTGTACGTAGGATCGAGCGCAGCTGCTTGGCATTGGAAGACTCTTGGGAAGGTAGAGCAGGAATGGTGACGTTAGCAGCCTGGCGGACCCTTGCTTCGACGTTGAGGTAGTTCTGGATGAAGAGAAACTCTGAGGATTGAGAGATAACCTCACCGGTGCACTTTTGGGCTTCCTGCAGCTGGTGTAGACAACCCTCCAAGTCGCATAGATTGGCCTGCCAACTTTTGTCCCGAGAATGAAGCTCGTCGTTCATCACAGTGCTCATACGACTCTTAAAACATCACATATAAACAGCGTTAATGTGCTTTACCACAACATAACTGTATGTCATCAGCACTGGTGTAGATCTGTTGCTCTTGACATAAGTGATGGTGACATTTCTTTGGCATGACTACTAAGACCTACCCAGGCTCATTGGAAATATGTGCCTCAATCTGCATTTCTGCAAAACTCAAAAAACCTATACGTACAAATCGCTGCAGTTTCCAGTTGAAATTGTCAAACTCTGACAACTTTTATTCCTTTCCACGCAAAATATGTTTTACAGGGCCAGAGTTTCGATTAAGAAAGCATAATTTAGCACAATTCATCGCGAAATATGGTGTTATGACTTCAAAACAAGTTTACATGCTGTGACATTTGAAAAATTATACTTTTGAATGTTAGTGATACTTTTGAACTTCATATGTGTGGGTTTTCTAATGTAGTAGGTTTGCTTGGTAGCTCATGCGATACAGTGTTGCATTTGCGAGGTGAAGCACTCCAGTATGAATCCCATTTTCCAACACGGTAGAGCCTTAACTGTTGGCGACACTCACCAGACATTTGAATTCTGAACCGTGCAATACGTACCTGAAGCAATGCAGGTACCAACGTACTAAAAACGGTCACTTATTGAAAGCGAGTTTTAGCTCCACTCACTGGACATTTCACTTTGAAGCTGCCGTGAACCGTGCAGTGAGGTATCGGTGTTAATGAAATGTCAACTTTAAAACCCGTTTCCACCGCAGGAACTTTCCCCAGGAACTATAGGGACTTTGGGCCGGTACTCGGTGTGTTTCCACCGCAGGAACCAGGATCTAAATAAAGTACCGGGTAAAAATTTGGCCCTCAAAAAGTCCCTGCTTGCGAGGTAGTACTTTTTCAAAGGTCAGGAACTTTCGGGGGCGGGACTTGGGTGCTGAACATGCTGATTGGTTGAGTTCACGCGGAATTGTATTTCAACCACCATTTATTTGCATATTTAAAAAAAATATATTACTGTTATTGTGTCATGAAATGTAGTTTTAAGAGTATTTCAGGCGAGAATGTAGTTGTTTAAAACTCAAATATGCTGTTTATTTATAAAGGCAGCGTCTATTTGAAAATTTTACTCCTCCGATTTTGGAGACGTGAGCTCCAGGCGATCTCCAGGTGTTCAGTGCTCATGTATCCCACTGAGAGCAGCCTCAACTCGGCTAGTCCTTCTGACATTTGCCGCTGGGTCTGATGTCTCTGTAGTGGTTAAACATGAGATATCATTTGTTTTGGGTAAATCTAACAGGTAATCTTTGGTTTTTATTCTGTTATTCTATTAAAGGTGGGGTATGTATTTTTTCAAAAACACTTTAGAAAACTGAGTCGGGCCGAGTAGCAAAACAAACTTGTAGCCAATCAGCAGTAAGGGGCTTGTCTACTCATGATGCAGAGGAGAGAGCACTCAGTGCACAAGATGGACATTAGCCGAACCAAGCTGAGCGACAGAAAGATAGAGATGACAGATAAAAAAACAAAAGAGGAAAACGTCTGCAGAACAAAAGAAGGCTTACGATAAGGCAAGAAGTAGGACCCGTGTAAATATCGGATCAGCTTTCC